GGAACTTGTTCGTCCTCTGCAGCACCCATCTGAACGGCGAACTTCGAGCCTCGTCGCTGGATAGAGTAAGATTGCCCTGGCTCAGCGCCGGACGTTGAAGATCCGATAGTCGGTGCCTCCCGTTGAGGTGTTGTTTCTGCCGATGGCTGCTGAGAAGCTGATGCTGACCCAGAAGCCTGTCCCTGGTTCAGGACGTTGGTGAACAAGCTCCACGAATCTCCCTGCTCCAGGAAAGACAGAGGCCATACAATAGCGGGTGCCCAGCTCTGGTCAATGGCCTGATGGCATGCCTTCGATACCCGCTGTCCCCAGCCCTCCATGAACCAGTATCGCGTCTCAGCTGCATGGAACATGGTCGTATAGTACAAGAGAATTACGATCGCACCTGACCTTCGCTGTTGAATAGCTTCCATGAAATCTGGTCCTAATTGCAGAGGCCAAAAGAAGAGGAAACGTAGCTCCCGGTTATCCACTCGAGCAGGCAGCGATATCTGGAAAGCGGGCTCGAAGAGGTGAATGACAGTAAGATAAAGTTGTCGTTCGGCCTCTGAGAGATCCGTTCTCCCTTCAATGAACGTAACCAGTGCTGGTAATTGACTTTTCAGCTCTAGCAACACGGGCTGCGATGCAGTGGGTTCCAACGGATCTCTCAGTATCGGGCCGAGAAAAGAGTCCCTCACTGCCATTTGAGCGAGCGCGAGAACGTGTCCCATACCTTGCATGAGATGGAAGGCATTCACCAGACTATCAATGTCGTTGACAGGTGCAGTAAGAGGTGTCTGGGCCTCGAATCCCGTTGAAGCAAATACGCTGAAGGTGAGCAGTGTCGACGTAGCTACAATCGCCGGGGCGTCTTCGTCGGTTACATTTTGAAGCTTCTCTCGAACTCCCCGAATGGCGAGATCTTGATGATGGATACCGCAAGCATAGTATGGCTGCCGTTGGTCTTGAGGTTGTTGATATGCTTTGTGTAGCGCCGCAAAGGCCAGAATCTCATGCATGAAGAAGTCATGTGCGTTGGCTTGTTTAGGAGCCTCGACTCTCCACATATGCCGAATGGTAGGTCGTTGGGACAGGGTATCAAATGCCTCTGTTGTCCAGTGGTGTCTAAAACAGTTGGCGATGATCCTGGCGATGGCCCAATTGACTTACAAGAGCTCTAGGTCCCGCAACCATAGCGACGACTGACTCGGTTGGTTTCTGTGTATATATCTAGTCAAGAAAGGGTATGCGTCCGACTGCGAGTCGGAAGAATCCTCTTCCGAGATAGTCGAGACGGCCCTCGCTCCGGCTGCGGTCGACGGGTTGCGCGGGTAGGCCACGTGGGCAGACGATGCCGATGAACCCTGTTACACCAATGAGAAAAGAACGACTATGTTTCATGGCGTTTTATGGGGCATACCGGTATAGATCGTTCGAGCGGTGACTGATTCGTACGTCGTGATGCAGACGATGCGGAAGATGCCGAATGAGCTGACTGGGATGCGCTGGGATCCCAGACGACGAGGCTACACGGAACGCCATGGCGAGCGCAGTTGGTACACGGCTTGAGTTCATCACACTGAGCTACTTCAGTATCGAGTCCTCGTAAGCGTGTAATGCTATTTAGAGGTTGTGTCCTACCTTGACATGGCGGGCTTTACATTGCTGGCAGCCTAGTCTGGACCTAGAGAACGTGATCGGGTCAGATAGGAGCGAAGAGTGGTTTTGAGGTATAAAACGGGGATGCTGTGGCTCGAGGGTACGGGGTCGTGGGCGACGAGTGGTAGGAGTGTGGCGTGATGATTACGGACTTTTTGTGGCCGAGGCGCGGCATTGCAGCGAACTACCGTGACCCGAGACCAAAGCTTTGGGCCTCGACAGTGTGACCAACCGATCAGGCTATCGTCGCAACGGACCGTCTCGCTGTTTCAAGCCGCAGGATGAGGGAACAATGCGAATGCGAAGGTGAGGTACGTGTGGACGATGCTGTGGGTGGTGGGTCGGGAGAATCTTCGCGCACAAGGATGATCCCACACTATGCCACGTTCGCTCCAGACGATGCCGAATCGAACTTGACTGCAGCCGCGGCACAGCTCGCATTCGCATTTCGGAGTTCGTAACGAGATAGCTATAGACTCCGACATGTGACGCGGTTGTGGTCGACGTCGCGATCCATTGGGTTGTGCGTCATCCGGCTTCTTCCGCCGCTTCAATCATCTCGCGTTCGCATCATAGCGTCATCCTCAATACGGGAACATCGAAATCGACCCTGTCAAACGGTACGATGGTATAATGCCACCCGTTAAGTAGGAGTCGAGGAAGCACGAGCCCAGAAATATATGCGAGAGCCGCCTGATCGAAAGACCATAATGGACGCGTCTGCACAACCACCCTCATTATCAAAAACTTTCAAGGCATATGTGTGAGTCAAAAACTATGTAGAAAGAGCTTGGAGCTGGCGGGTCGATGAGATGCCCAGGCAGAATTATGCTAGGACTTCGATAAGGTATTCCATCGCGTCCTAATCTCAACCGCATTATCCAGCTGTAAGATGCGCATCAACTTTCGCGATTGCAACGCATCGCATATTGCTTTTTTCTCTCAGCTCAGAGGGGTCATGGCTTCACGAAAAAGAACCGCGGCAAGCCAACTAACGAGCGGGGCGCCTGGCCCCCTATCGACATCGGCATCATCGGGTTGGTCTTGTCGTTATTGCACGCATGCATGATACAACTCTTCTGTGTTGTGTAAGACTTGGGTGGTTACTTCTCGAACCATGCCAGTCGCGAAAGTCATAGTGCAAAGAAAGAGCCTTGGCAAATGATTACCAACCACAGCACAGTTGCGGTGCGAATTCCCGACTTGTTCCTTTGCGGCCTTTCATCTGAGTCATTGCTGGATGCTGTGCCAGAACCGCTCTCTGAACAGAGAACAGAGTGGGAAGGCTATGTAGCAGTTGAAATCTGAACGCGCACGTGTGCAGAGCAGAATGTGGGTATCATATGACCATGGCGCAGTCGAGCTCAGGTAGAGGGTGGTTTGAATGGGGTTGGGTCGTATTGGCTCTCTGAACATGAAAGAGATTCACGGCCCATTTTACGCTCACAGTGGCATCCGAACCACGGTTCTCTCACTAGTGTGAAAAAGGCCGCAGTAGCAGAAAGCACAAGAGCTCACCTTTCTAAAAACAATTTTCTAACCACTCAACTCACTATACAAATCAGTACAACATTAACATCTAGATCCTTCGTCAGGCTCACGCAATGGATTCGCATCAATCAGCTGACTTGTTTGCGACGACAACATCGTATGAAGCTGTCGAATCGGCCGCAGACGTAGTCCATGGAGTCCACAAGTTTGCCATAGAGGAAGAAGACGACTACGAAATACACGAAGACGAATACGTGACCCCAGAGGAGATTGACCAGTATGATCCAGACGACTCTGATGCATTCGAACACCGTGTAGATATTGCTGCTCAAGAGCTCCAGCATGCGCACAGACCAGTGTATACGCGCACACTACTCGAGGATGTAAAGTACTGGGCTGATCGGATTCGTGGAGAGTTCTCCTTAGCATCTGATCAGCGAGTGCTCGATCATGTTGATGCTTCCGGGCTGAACAAGAAAACGTACAGGGTCTGGAATCAAGATGACGTTGATGCCAACACCATCCAAGTTGAATATCTGTCGCGAGTTGAGATGCATCCTGACTTTCAAAGTCGATACGGAGACCATTCAGAACAGATCAGGACTCTCCGACGCTACAACAAAGACCACAAGCAAGACTGCATCAACACGCCATATACTTTCATAACCTTTGATCGATGCTTCTTCAATGAACATAAGAACACAGCAAAGATGAGGACATATTGGAGCACTATACAAAACACAAAACGCCTTTGGATAGCGAGTTTCGCGAGAAGGCAGCTGGTGGAAGCATTCCTAGAGACAGCCAAGACGTGCGCACCAATCACGCAGGTTGTCTGCTTTGGAATAGGTGCGCTTAATCTCAAGAAGAACTGGTACGATTCCGCCATCCAATATATGGCCATCTTCAGCATCATACAAGCACTGAACCAGTACTACCGTCAGGCCGACTCCGCTCGGCCCTTGATCCAGCTGGTACTACAAGATCCGAATTACGAGACCAAAGATCATGAGATCTTGCAAAAACTATTTAACGACAACGACAATATCAGCTTCGTCTCTGACCCAGATGGTCTTCTCGCAATCGATGCGGGTACGCTAGTCGTGACAGCCTATCTCCCCTTCCAAATGCCTCTGGTCCAGATAATAGCCGATCTAATTTCGGAAAGCCCTGGCCAAGGCCCAGCGGCAATACTATGCGACATCATGGATGTCGATACTGAGAAGCGGGAGTACTCGTTCAGCGAGCGCGCATCTCCACATGTTGCCCGGCACTTCACAAACCATTACGAAAGGGAAGAGGATAGGTTTGAAGATCACGGTTTGAATGATGAGCTCATGGCAGATGCATATGGAGAAGATTGGGTGGAGAAGGACAGGATGTACTGGCTGAACAACATGGATTTATGGGTGCGAAAAAGCGGCGGAATTCAAGAACCGCACGTTCAAGATCAGTAGGCAAGTAAAGGTGGCTGGATGGTCATTATACTAGCAAGCATATCATGATGGCTCACCTCCATGGCGTCAAGGGATATCCGTCACAACGCGCATGCGTGACTACGACGACCTGAACGAGACAAATGTTTCTTAGCTCACACATGTCTCAAACTTTTGCCGCCTTCGCGTGCACTTGAGACATTGAAATGAATGGCAATCGCATTGCCTGGGGTATACATCAGTCTGTTTCATTACTGATCTTCAAGACTGCAACATGTTTGAAGACTACACTGTTTGTTCGCAGTTTGCTAGTGAATACTTACAAGGGGTGCACAATGCTATAAGTTGCCTGAGCACATCCATGTCGATCTCATCTTCATCTCCCTCAACCCACTAACTGGTCCATTCGCAACATCTACCCCATCGCTCGCCATGCCGATAACAACAAGATCTCAGTCCAAAGCCAAGGCATTGGCCATGGCCTCCGAAGAAGCTATGACTAGCGAGTCTGACTCTGATCTCGACCTGGGATCTGAAGTAAACTTTGACGAGGGAAGCGACCTGGATGACGATGAGCCACCTGACGAAATGCTAGAGCATCTGGTCGACCTTGATGCCCTTGAGAAGCAGCACAACAACAAACCGATGTATACAAGATCTCTCCTTTTTCAGATCCGCAAACAGCAACGCATAATACTCGACGAAGCAAGCCTACCACCTGACCGCCGCACGATACAGTATCTCACCTGGCGAGCCCAAGATGGAAGTCTCACGAATGTTTGGAAGGATAAAAACCTTTCCCGGGTAGTCCAAGAGCGAAAGCAACGCGTCGATGTTGACTACGTATGCCGCGTCGCCCTCGATCCAGAGTTCCAGCGCGAGTATGGATGGCACGTTGGATCAACCCTTATGTTACGACTGTACAGCGATGCTGTCACTAAGTATAGTGGTACAGAGGATGTGTATCTCGGCGCTCCTTACGCTCTTCGTGTCGTAGATCAGGGCAAGACTCTCCAACACCAAGATGAAAACCAAATGCAGAGGTATCGTGATGCGGTAGCTCAGTCATTGGCTTTCTGGAAGAGGGGTGACTTTGCCAAGAAGTTCACAGCCACGATCAAAGGTATCGCGGGCCTCTCAGCGCCAGTTGAGAAGATTGTGTGTTTTGGCCTATCTGTACCCCGCCCGGACTGGATGCATCACAGTGTGTTCCAACACATCCCAGTTTTCAGTATGGCAAAAACCTTAGCTAGGTTCTACCAAAAGTACGGGTTGGAACAAAAGAAGATCAAGATCTTGCTTCAAGAGCCCAACTACGAAGAGAGGGACTGGACGCTGTTCAGCGAACTTCACAAAGCCATGGGCTGTGAAGCCAGCAGCGAGATAGAATTCGTCAACGATCCAGACGGACTACTTGCCATCGACACGAGCACTATGGTAATCGCTCCGCATTTGCCTACCGGCACTTTTCCTTGGATTCAGATCATCGCTGATCTCTTCGCATCGGGGTCTGGGCCGGCTGTCATCATCGGCGATCATCTCGCTGTCGATATTGGGAAGGAAGTCTTCGTTCACTATGATCGCGGGTCGCCAGCCGTCTCGAGGTTTCTCTCAGATCGATATGAGGAGTTTCAAAGTGTTCTCCCTCATGAGAGGCAATGGAACGAGTTACGTCTGCCTGATGTGACCACTGGGTTTGATCCGTATGGTATCGACTGGATACCGGGTATGGACATCTACGTACGACACGATGGTCTTAATTGTGAGCACCTGTAGGTATTGCTGGTCGTGAGTTAGCATAATGTAGCTCAAAAGACTAGCAAGATAGCATATATCAAAATGACTCGCGATCTCTACCCTTCTTCTCATCCTCTTTCTTACTTTATCTTTCTATATGCACATCCTTACCACACAAAAAAACAGCAAAAAGTAATGGACATGACGGAAATCGAATCCGTATCTCCAGGAAGGAACGGGCGTCAAACGCCGCCCGCGGTTGCCCTCGCCTAAACCGTTGAAGGTCAGGCTACCAGCCCTTGCTTGTTGCCACAAGGTAAGGCCCCAGCGTTGTGACCATTAGACCACATGCCCTGCGGGTACTTTCATAACGATAAAAGCAAACTATGAGATTAATATAAACATCTACAAAATAAGAGTATTAGCAAAAGAGAAGCTTTCAACTCCATACTCTTCTTTCCAAGGTTGCGCTCCGACCCATGCTTTCTCTCACCCGCAACCTTACCCGCCTCTCCACCTTGCTATCCCAATCTCTCAGGTAGCTCAACACCGCCAAAAAGATAGGCACAGCGAGACTCGAACTCGCATCTCCCTATGTACATTTATGGCCTGGGTTGTTTCGCCCCCGAGCCAAGGGCCAAGCCTGCAGGACCAGCGGCAGAGCTACACACCCATCGCGGTTCTATTCCTAGGGCGTCTTAACCATTAGACTATATGCCTTAGATGATTTCGATAGCTTGCTGCAGAGCAAGAGAACATATATCAAATCGAGTTGCAGCGTGGTAAGAAAAGAAGTGAGGTGTTTTTGCGGTCAAACATTGCGATGGCAAAGCACACCGAAATGGTAAGAGCACCATTAGACGACATGCCCTTGATAGTTGTTGATGAGCGATTGAAGGATGGCTAAAGCTATAGCAACGGACATTGAGCGGAACAAAAAAACATGATGGACATGGCGAGAATCGAACCCGCATTTCTTGTAACCAAAGAAGTTAATCAGTGGGAAGCGGTGGCGAATGGAATGAGCCAACAATTTGCATTGATGGAGAGAGCCAACGAGTTGAATCGCCAGTGGGGAGCCAACAATTTTCATTGATGGAGAGAGAAGGTGTACTGTGCTCAAGCGTCCTACCATTAGACGACATGCCCGTGAGATGATGTTTGATGGGATGAAAGGGAATTTGACGGCATATGTAGATGCTGGTGGCATGCAATATTGTGGGAAATGTGTGCGGCGATGCGGAAGCGTCATGGCCTGATGCGAGAGCTCCTACGCGTCATCTGGGTGTGTTGTGGCAGTCGCTGATGGTGGTGGCAGGCGTGGGCAGGAGGGTTGCGGGAGCTTTGGGAAGGCACGATGAGGCAGTAGCGTGGAATCCGCCCACCCACACATCGCGACTGGGTCTTACGATGGCGGTGCCAGGTTGTCATGATTTCCTATTCTATGTCGTAGTCTTACCGATCAAGGGTATATCGCATGTAATCATCGACTCACTCAGTACCCTGCCAATAGCCGCCAGACCGCTTCCATCTAGCTCAACAACTCCTTGATATCCTCGATCCTCTGCACCCTCTTCTCCTCATCACTCATCATACCCAGCGAACTCGCACTGCGAAACGTTAGCACCCAACCTTCACACTTGGCAACACGCGTTCCACTTACATAAACTTCTTCCTCTCCTGTATCCTAAGCATCTTCTCCTCGATACTCCCCTCCACACAAAACCGCACGACCTTAACCTCCCTCTCCTGACCCATACGGTGCACACGATCGATAGCCTGGGCCTCGACGGCAAAACTCCACCACGGATCCATCATGAAGACTTTGTTTGCGCAGGTCAAGTTCAGACCTACACCGCCTGCTCTCAAACTCAGAAGTAGGACGTATGGTTTCGGGGAAGTGGTGAACTCGGTGAGGATCTGAGCGCGCACTTTCTGGCTGATGGAGCCGTCGAAGCGGAGGAAGGGGATGTGGTCGCGGGTCAAAGCGGGTTCGATGAGGTCGAGGAAAGATGTGAATTGCGAGAAGACGACTGTTTTCGCGCCCTTTTCTTCTTTGCGGGTTTTCTTCAGATGGCCCAACAGGGCTTGGGTTTTGGCGGAGCCGGTGACGCCGATGCGACGCAGGCTGATACGTGGTGTTTGTGTGGAAGTAGGCGGTGCGTCTGCTGCGCGGAAAGCGTGATTATCTTCGTCTCCTTCAGTGACATTGTCGTGCCGGATGACTTCGAAGACGTCGCGCGCGTTGATGGGTTCGCGGCAGTTCCAACAGCGTGGTATCTCGTTCTTGTCGCGCTGATGGGCTATATAACTTAGTAAGCATTCTTTGCAGGCTGAGTGCCAACAGCCAGTGACTGCTTGCTCAATCATGGGTTCTTCGGAGCAAATTGGACATTCGGCCGCAGATTCGTCTTGGATCTGTTTCAAGACATGTGCGCCGAACCTGTTGACATCTTGGTCGCCCTCGGCAGTGAAACGTTCAATTAGAGAGGAAAGATCCATATCATCCGCCAATCCATTAGCAAGATCCGATGCCAACGAGGCATCTTCTTCATCAGCGACAAGGTTGCGATTGCGAGTCAGGACAGGATGGCAGCATGATTGCCGTAGTCGTAGAATTTGCGCGAAGATGGTTGTATAGGACTTCATGAGCGTGCCGGCTTCTGCATTAGCATTGACCAGACTTTTTGCGCGCAGAAAGATGTGATCGTACACATCCCGCTCGTCCTGTGACAGCACGATCTTCTCAACTTCGATTGTCCGAGGGGGCAGTGGTACCAGCGCTTCACCATCGGGTGTCTTCATGTCCTTCGTTCGACGAAGCACCAGTGGCTCTAGTACTGTCTGTACCACGTTCAAGGCACGCACAAAGTCGCCTGATTCAAATGGTACGGTGATGAATGTCTTCCAGAATGAGAAGTTCGCCCACGGCTCGACCTTGAGGAAGCGGACTAGACTGAATAGATCTTCCAAGCGGTTGACAATCGGTGTTCCTGTAAGCGCCCATCGATGCTTTGCACTGAGCTCGTAACATGCTTTCGCTGTTTTCGACTGTCGGTTCTTGATATAGTGCGCTTCGTCGAGGATGATGCGGAAGTATTCGAGCGAGAAGATACCACCATGCGAGCCACGGTTCCCTTCCTGTGCAACCACCTGGTTATACTCTGACAGAACTGTGCCGTAGCTCGTTATGATAACGTTGGGCGCATTAGCGCCGTTCGATGCGCAACATAGCTTCTGAAGATTCACAGCCTTCTCTGAGCCATAATAGAGCATGGCCTTCAGTGTACCTTCTTTGGACGCCTTCTCAGCTTCGCTGTGCCATTGTGCTAGCAATGACATGGGTGCTATGACGAGTGTGGTGTATGGCGCAGGCTCAACTTCGGCACTGAGCTTTTGCAACCGGGGAAGAGCCTTCCGCGTCGCCAAAGCATCCTCGTCAACTTCTGTCCTATTTGTATGGATCAAGCTGAGCATCTCAATGGTCTTGCCCAGACCCATCTCATCAGCGAGTATACCGCCAAGGCAGTTCTGCTCTTGTTTCGGGAACTCCAGTGAGAGCTCGCCAGAGTAGGGATTGACATAGAACATGGTCTGGTCTTCGATGGTCGGTATTGGCTGATTGTCTGCATCGTGAGTTGGCCACGGGTATTCTTCCCACAAGGGATGCATCGAGGTCTCCTTGTCCTCTATCGACTCATTCCTTTCTTTGCTGACCATCCAAAAGAGCGCCTGCTTCTGATACTTGCGCAAGTCCATGCGGAAGGTGCTTGCTGGCTCCATGGTTGGGGTGTCGAAGTCAAAAGACTGCGCCTTCTTGTATAGTGAATCCAGTTGATCTTGTTCCAGCTCTTCTCCTTCTTCGGCATCGTCGGGTGGCGGAGAGGATGTGGGGTTGGTAGACGTCGCAGGCGTGGAGGATGTTCCGTTCTTCGGCTTCGGCTTATCGCCTTTCTTCTCCTCGCTCTCTGCTGCCTGTAATAGACCCTGTCGCTTGTGCTTCGCCGTCTCTTCGTTTTCGCGGGTTGGTTGGAGATTGATGTTATCGAAGAGCTTCACAAGACCAACTTGGCGTAACCGAAGGTCTCGCTCGTCGGATGATTCCTTCTCTTCGAACAGATTGATTTCTCGGTTGTTGTCAGGTTTGGCAAATTTACGCGAATCGAATGCTGCGCGAACGAAAAAAGCTCGTAGCTGTAGGTATATGGTATCGCCTGTGCGTATTTTATCGGGCGTGTAGACAACCGAGCCGTCGAAAGAGCACACTTTCTGGTCGAGTAGCACAGATACCCATGCTGCTGAGTCGTTGTCCAACCTGCCGACTTCGGCCCCACGCTCATTCATGAACCGGACTACGATATCCGGTTTCGAGAGTTTGATGACCTTCTTTGCCTTGTTGAGTTTGGGTTGTGGCTTGGTGCGCTCGATGCGTATCTTTTCGTCGTGCTTCAGCTGAGATCCGCTCTTGGTAGCAAAGCCTACGACACCAAACGAGCCAATGTAGCGCTTACTGGGCATCTCTCGCAGTATTGTGGGTGTGGAGGTGCCTGAGCCTGGTGCGGACGCGTTCGATATTTCGGATTCGGTTCGATTGAGGGTTTTCGCTATCGTCATCTGAATCGGCTGTCGACCGGATTTGAAGACGGGTGCGGGGGACGGTGAGTGCATCTTGCTCCATGAGCCGTCCAAGTAGAGGTTGATTGCTACACCTTGTCAGCCATGCAACTACAACCTCACACTTACTGGCATACCTCGTTCTACATTGCTTCCACTGACATCTTTCAGCTTCTGCAGTACCGTATGAGAGAGTTCTCCAACAACCGCCTGGAGCATCCCCACGTCGAAACTCCCGAAATCGGCTTCTTCCTCATTGCCATTGCTTTCGTCTGGTGTATCTGCGGCGTGTAGTGGCGGCGACGAAGGGGGAGGCTCGATGGGTTTCGACTCCGGCTGAGTAGGGGAGGAGTCTTCTACGAAGAATCGGCGCTTCTTGACGGGTCTCTCGTCTGGGTGTGGTGACTCCATGGTGTTGTGTTGTGCGTGTTGGTGTTGCGCTTTCCTCGCATGCGCCCAATTCGTCCAGTCGCGTCGACGCGCTTTCACGTGGCGACTGCGGGTGATCGACGTAATAGCGTCATACAACCCACCAGTCGCCGTGCACTCTTTGTGCCTTACGAGCAATTGCGCCTCCCCCAGATTGCGCAAACACATGCATCTTCGCTCTGTACAGTAGTTTTCGTCTTCTCAAAAGTTTTCAATGCCGCCTCCGAGGCTCCGCATAGCTCCCTCTCGGCGCATACACACCTACCCAAGACCACGACGGAGGCAATTTCACACCTCGCCACGACTGCAAAATGCTGCTCGCCCCTCAGAAGATGAGATTGCACGCGCACGTGCTTACTGCGCGAATCTAGTCAGGTAGCTTCATAACGGCAACTCTCTTCTGTCGCACACTAACGAAATGGCAGAACATACGATGCGCCCTCACATGTCCTTCAAACCTTCATACCGCAATCCTCCCGAGATGCCTACCTCGCGATTCGCGCATTCAATGTCGATGTCGCCCGCGTCGCCGACACTACGAGCACACCCACAATTGGCATGATGCGCATGCAATTCTGGAGAGATACCGTCACGAAAGCGCTAGCCGGTACACCTCCGAAAGAGCCAGTCGCCATCTTATTGGCACGAGCAGCTGAGGATTTGCATGAGCGATCTGGTGGGAAGGCGCGACTGAGCAAGAACTGGTTCCATCGCATCATCAACACGAGAGAACAATATCTAGGGAACCCACCGTATCCCACGTTGAGCGCACTGGAAAGCTATGCGGAGAATACATACTCGACCATGTTGTATCTGACGCTGTCAGCGCTGCCCCAGGCCTCGCTCACCACCGACCACGTCGCATCGCATATCGGCAAGGCCATGGGCATCGCAGCCGTACTACGAGGCATCCCGCTCATCGCGTTCCCCCCACAGCAGCCACTAGGCACTAGCAACTCCATGACCGGGCAATCAGGGCCCACACAAGGCGCCGTGCTCCTCCCACTCGACGTAATGGCCGAAGCCAACGTCCGCGAAGAAGACGTCTTCCGACAAGGCGCTTCTGCCCCCGGTCTCCGCGACGCCATCTTCACCGTCGCGACACGCGCGAACGACCACCTCATCACCGCCCGCGAGATGCTGTCGAAGCTACGATCCGAAGGCACACTCGGCCACGACTTCGAACACCAGAACGAGGAGGAACATCAGTACAGCGCACAGCAGATGAACACAGGGCAGGAGGCACAATTGGCGGAGGTAGAACAAGCATTCGGGGTCTTTATGCCGAGCATAGCGACACAGTCTTGGCTGGATAGGTTACAAGGAGTGGACTTTGACATCTTTGATGCGAATCTGAGGAAGGTCGACTGGAAGCTGCCCATGAAAGCGTACTGGGCGTATAGTCGGCGGAAGATATAATGCTCAAAACAAATGAAGCAATAACACATGGAATTCTCAGAGTTGCAATGCTTTTTGAACGATGATGCTGATCATCACCAATACGCATGATGGCTAAGTACAGGTCACAACCAAACAAGTCGACCGGTGCCATAGGATTGATCCGACTCATTTTTAGTTTTCCCCTTTTTTTGAGCACGATGTAGAGAGAAGGAGACTCAGTGATAATCTACCTCATTATATACCCGTCCAGGACCCTCATAGCAAACGAGGCGGTAGCCTGATCAGAATTCCGCGAGGACGTCATACCCGGACTACTACACCCGTTCGAATGACAGCCCAAGCTCTGCACAGAAGCTCATGTCTCTCTATAGCCTGATTTTGTTGAACGTCTTTCCATAAGTGTGAAGAATGTGGTTTTGAATTACTGCATTGACTTTTGTGCCAGTCGACGGGTCGCGGCAACACATAGGTGGATGTACTTCCATTTTGAAAGCCAGGGCTTTTTCATGAACAGTATTGGATGCCTCGTCCTTGGAGTAAACGCCGAACAGGGACACGACAGATACTCATGTTGACATGCTCACAGACTTTTGGAGGTAATGTGTTGGAAGTTGGCTTTTGACGGAAGAGGGAAGGAAGTGCTCATGGATTCTTAGCCTGTTCATTTTGGAAAGAGAAGAGCGAACACATGTTATTGAAGTCGAACATCTTTTGGAAAACAAAGCAGAAGGGAAGAGAGGTTGAAGAGTGAGAGGAAGAGTGGAAGGCAAGCTTTTTATATGTCACAGACCGGAGGTGGATCCAGAGCACAGCATGCTTGCGGGAGGTCGGGCTTTTTGGTTTATGACATTGTTTCCTGTGTTTTTGTTGCGCAGACAAAACATGAAGATGCAATTGATGGTTTTGAAGAACTCGGCCGAAAGCACAACATGAATCGTATTTTTCATGATTTCGATATTTTGTTAGAAGTGATGATGCAAGATCGAGGAGGGAGAAAGGCAAGGCGAGATGGAGAAGCCTTACATGGACCATTTCATTGTGAGCTACTCCCCGTGAAGATTTTGCCGGCTGGAGGGCACCGCACATTGCAATGTTATACCGTGTTTTGAAAATGCACATCATATGGTTTTTGGAACATATGAATCAAAAGACTTCTCAGGGGAAGAAAGGAAGAGAAGAAGAGTAACGATGCGTATTTTATACTTCTCCGTTCTCACCGCAGACGTGTAATGGTGGTAGAGCCCGACGTAGGGCGGGTTGGCCGGTCATGCGCAACAGTATGTAAGAAGGATGACCGCGACCATGACAACGTCGCTTCTGGTCGCAGGTGAGAACCTACCCAGGAGGTATGCGTGCGGTACGCGCGTAAGACCAAAGCAAACTATTGATTCGGATGAATGACACGGAAAGCGAGGATTAGAGCCCCGCCCTTTCGTATCCGATTTGGTTAGTCTACGCATCCTGCGTGTCATTATCCTAGAGCATATCATGTCGCAAGTCCGTCATTTTGGTAGTAAGATATTCTGAAATTCATTCTCGGAATTTTGATTCTGTCTGTCGCACGTACGGTGGTCGAAGATGGCGTCAACGGTGTGTGCCCTCAGTCGCGACCCCCTGGGCCTTCGCATGCTAACAACCACAGCCAAACGCATCGATACCCTGGGCGGCATCTCAGAAAGAAGATGCGTCCAAAGTTGGGTTTCTGGACTTACCGCGCGAACTTCGCGACATGATCTACGAGTTCGCCTTCAGCATCAAAGGCGCGGTTCTCGTCTACTCGCGCGACCCCTTCGCAGTTCGGCCGGTGATGAGAGTGCTGAACATCCGACATGGCGGCGAAGGTCCGATTGAACCACAACCCTTATGCAGCGGCCAGATCCCGGTAGCACTCATAAGGACGTGTCGACAGCTGCGGGCAGAAAGCAGCCCTGTTTTCTACGGGTCGAACGTTTTTTCTTTCTGGGCGCTGGGCAACATCGACGTGGGTTCCGCCAATCGGTGTTTGGTACGGCACATTGTGACCGAAGCAAGTCCTCGCGGCATCTTCGACAAGTCTCTCGAGCATGTGAGCTATTGCTGGAAGAGGAGGTTTTGGCCTAAGATATTGCGTAGCAGCGAGGCTATATTGGAGCACTTCCCATACCTAGACACGCTGACGTACTCACTGAAGCCACCGCGTGAGGAGGTTTGGAAACCTGCTTTCTTTGATGTGGCCAACAAAACTAGAGAGCAGCGTGTCGATCTGGTTGCTAGTTGGATGGGTCAAATGTGTCCTTGGGAGAACGAGCGACTGCGTCGGATTGTGCATCTCGAGATGGTGCCTTCGCCTGGGCTCTCGAGAGATGAATATGCGGGTTCGCGGTTCGTTCTTGAAGACGAAGACGTCTGGGACTACACCGAGTTCGTGGATGCATTCGAGCGGATGAAGATATCGATCTAATTAGATGGGCGGAGAAGCATATCGGTTATATAAAAGCAATATGAGCATTCTGTGGGTGGCCACGTTAGCAGAACCATCGTTCGGTGCAGGATGACGGAAGGAGGCATGATCGTGTGAGCCTTGCCTTTTCCGCCACATCTATCTCATTTCTTGAGCCCTTGGCACGATATGTGCTTTTCTCCACACGATGCAAGCAGAAACTTGAAGTTTGGTACCGGCATCCCCACGAACTGGTGGCTCAACTGGTAAGCGACGAGGCTAGATCGCCGGCCGATTCCGGCAACTACACCCAAGCCGCAGATGTCAAGCACGGCATCAAGAAAACGCCATTCCGCGCTCAGATCTCACAAAAAAAGATCCAATTGTCATCGACATGTTTCTCCGACCAGCGCGCACCTGCACACGGTCACTCCACACATCAACCCGCGCAATCACGGCCCGGCCGTCCATAAACCCACCAAACGACGCTTTCCGAAACCGGCAAAACCTAGTTCCCAAATTTTCGACAAAACAGTCATCATTGCAATTGAGCAGCAGGCGATTCATAGCAACCTCCGTACCGCGACTTCAACAACTCGGCTCCAAAGAACGGATTTCAACATCCAAAATGGCAGGCGACGATCACTACCTCACGCTCTCATGCCCGGATAAGGCTGGCATTGTGTACGCCGTCACGGGTCTACTGGCCAAGGAAAACCTCACCATTCTCGATCTCCAGCAATTCTCCGACCCAGACTCCAAGAAGTTCTTTATGCGTGTGCATTTCGGCCATGCAGCAGATGTATCCGCGCTGCAAGAAAGCATGAAGAAGCTCGCTTCGGAAATGAGTATGACATACCAGATCCAACGGGTAGACTCCAAGCCCAAAGTCCTCATCATGGTATCCAAAATCGGTCACTGCCTCAACGACCTCTTGTTCCGCGTCAAGTCTGGCCAACTCAAAGTCGAAGTCCCGATTATTGTGTCCAACCACCCCGAGTTCGCGGAGCTGGCAAAGAACAATGGCATTGAGTTCCATCACCTTCCTGTAACCAAGGACACCAAGGAGAAGCAGGAGACGCAGATTCTGGATTTGATTAAGCAACATAATATCGACCTTGTTGTTCTGGCGCGCTACATGCAGGTCCTCTCACCGCGCCTGTGCACGGAGATGTCGGGCAAGATTATCAACATTCATCACTCTTTCTTGCCTTCGTTCAAGGGCGCGAAACCTTACCATCAGGCCTACGAGCGTGGTGTCAAGATTATCGGTGCGACCGCGCATTTCGTTACTGCGGATCTGGACGAGGGACCGATCATCGAACAGCGCGTTGCGAGGGTCGACCATGCGTTGAGTCCCAAGGAGTTGGTCGAGGAGGGTAGTAATGTCGAGAGCCAGGTTTTGGCTGCGGCAGTCAAGTGGTGGAGCGAGAAGAGGGTGTTCTTGAACGGTCAGAAGACTGTTGTGTTCAACTAGAGCGTGCCATCAAAAGTCGACGAAAAGCAATGTAAATACACATGTGTCATGAAAAGCGTCTGAAAAATAATCTACAATGGGTTGCGCACGCTCACCACTTCACGCGCAGGCCTTCGAAACTCCTCGGCATAGGCGGAAAGTCAGCAGACAGGCCATCTTCGCCGATGTACTTCTCCTTGAGAAGGAGGCAGGTCGAGCAAAGACGCTCCCCGATTGAGTGTTGACCGAGCCAGATCCGGCCTTGAGCGCTGTAAAGCAAAGTCGCTATATCGGTGAACATATTTGATGTAGGATTGGTTTGGAGGTCGGTATCGTTGAAAACGTGCGGCTGGGCGTCGAAGAACTCGTCATCCGATTGCGTGTCATCGTCGGTATCGTCCGTTTGAAGCATCCCGGTAAAGTCCTGAAGCTCTTCTAACATCGTCGTGCCTTTTTGGATCGTGTCGCATACACAGCTGGAGTTGTGACCGGATTTGACGCATTCTGTGACGGCTATGCGCGCAGGTTCGACCAGACCGCCAGCAAATGGACCGTAGTCGTCTCCGCAGTGAGTGCATGCAGTTCTTGATGACTTTCCAGAGCCGTGAGGGATATCCTTGGCCTGAGTCAGCACACAGATGAAGGTCCTTCGTTTCATGCCCATTCGGCGTAGATAGTCATCGAGCTCTTCGCGCATGTACACTTCCAGCTGCTCAATGCAGTCCAACACTGCGCTACACCAAGCCGAGTAGATACTAGGCAGTGCTTGCAGGTATTGCTTATGTGTGAGGTTGTCCTCCATCCAATCAAAGCCCTTCATCTGTAGGAAGGCGCCGGCGTTCACTGCCATTGGTAGGACCACTCGGCCGATTACACGTAGAGCGAGCCAAGAGCCCATAGCGTGTAGGTGTCTCTTGCTGATCTCCAGACGCTCTTCGCTAGAAAGACCGAGAATTTGCTCAAGGTAGTTGTTGTGACGCGCATGGTTGAGAACAGATCTCATCGCGTGTTGCAGGGCGGACCAGACATTGCGCACGCTAAATTCGACGTATTGCTCATTCAAAGTAAGATGAAGTAGCCACGTGATACTGTTTCGCGAGATTGGAACTCGTTCCCTTGCATATGCTCTCTTGAGCCAGTCGTGGACACACCAACCGTCGCCTTCAGTGTCTGATATGTCGATGCATTCAAAGAAGAGTCTGAGCATGGCGATCTTGACATCAGCCTGCTCATCGGTACAAGATGCTACGAAGAGTGATACTGGTGATCTGTTTTCCTTAGCAGCGGTTTCGTCATTTGACACTGGGCACCTACAAGATCGCGTCAGAAGGCCCTTCGTATACCAGTGCGGACTTGTCGGCGCCTGCCTTTATTAGCAAAGCACAGAGCTCGACGTGACCTGCTGCGGCGGCAAACTGGCCAAGTCAGCATACTTGAACAACTTTTCACACAGGAGCAGTGTCTTACGTGCAGTGGCTTCCATCCTTTAGGGCTCGTGTCTACTACGCTTGCCATTCCTCTCTCCAAAAGTGCTTCGACAGCACGAGTCTGACCGGTACGGCAGAGCTCGAAGATGAGTGAGTCATCGGAGACCGGGCGAGTTACTGTTATGTTACAATTAAAGAGCCAGCTCCGACCTCCGGATGCTACGACAGCTTCTAGGCCACTCTGCATGCCCATGTACTGTTGCCATTTTGTGGGGTATAGAATCAGCGATCTGATGATCTGGGACTTCCTAGATCTCTTGAAATACCTGTTGCCGTGGTGTATGTTCGTCGTGCGTAGCCAAGCACACCCAAGTGCAGTGCGGAAGACTGAGACATGGTGATTTACGTGATACCGCAGTTTCTCGGCATAGACAAAAGTCTTGGCCCTCAGCTGTCCGCATTCATCGATCGTATAGCCGTCTTGTGAATAGATGTCCAGCGATGTCGGTTCGAATGTGGTGACTGCAGTCTGTGCGATGAAGTGCAACATGAGCTCCTGTGCCTCATGATTGATCGAGAGGCGCTCCGTTGGCATTTTACGTGAAGGCTGTAGTGCGTTCGTCGTGAATGAAGACGTCATACTGCGGAGGGAACGCTGGCCAACGAATTTCGACGGAATACCTTGCACCGTTGTCCAGCTAGACGCGTCCTCGATCCCGGGCAAACGAAGTTGGCCTTCTCGAACGGCTTTAGAAGTACCATGTGTACCGATCTCTCCAAACACTTTCACTCTTGTCGGAAGACGGGAAGAGCGAGCTTGAATCACGCTACATATGTGTGTTTAGCGAACCACTATTTGCATGCATGCAATTGCGTCATACCTTTCGTGGGCCATAGCCAGTGTAAGTGTCGACTTTGTGTCGTTTAACGAGTCACGGAATCGTTGGATATGTTTGCTGTGAAGGGCAGCTTTGAAAGCCGTACGTACACGTTGCCGCCTCGACAGCGATGAAAGACCACCATCGAATCTTTCAACAATGAGAGTCAGATCCTGGAATGATTAGTTACAGCTTGCGTCCCCAAACCGATTCGCTTACTGCAATCTTGGCCCGGCAATGTTGTACACCTTCTGCTAGACAACCGCCAAGATTGTTGCCATTTGATTCGACTCGCTGGAAGACTGAGATCAGGAAGCGAAGATCTTCCTTGATCGCAATGATCTCCCGAGGAGCATCTTCGACTGTCTCCCAAAACGTGTAAAGTTTGATACACGCTTCGGTAAGTTGAAAAGCCACAGATATGACAGCGAGGCCTGAATGCTGTCAGTAAAAGATAATGAAGTAGTTCATCGAAAATACCATTCGCAGCGACCGAAAGTCCTTCCATTTTCTCGAAGCCTAATTACTAATTACATGTCAAGAGCAGTCCGATTGGAGTTTATATTCCAGTGAGCCTACTGCGGTGCAGCAAAGGGGCGAGGTTCACTCACGTCTCAGCATTGCCCAGTTGTGGCTGCGCCAATGCATACTCAATGATTCCCCTGTAGGTCGCCTCGTGCTTTACCTCCACCAAATCCGCGCTGAGTACGCCTTTGAGCCTTGCGCATGGTCATAGCTGGGAAGCCGAGAGACAGCATTGAACAATGATGTGCGCGGCAGATTGGCGCGCTTGCGTGGATAAAGGCCACGACAGTTGCCCATTACCTTGTTCCTCTCCGGTTATAATATCAGCAAACTTCAATGCTTGACAAGACCTGCCCATTAGCTCGATACGATTTCGATGTCTGGGCGACGGTTCGTCAATGGTGCTTGGGTTCAGGAGGCTGGGCCGATCGACGCTTCCGCTCCCACACTATCCACTTGTGGGCGCAGCCGTCACGTAACGGGTGGCGAGGCCGACGCGTTCCAGGAAGCTCGAGAAGACGGGCTCACATACAATAGGCTGGGGCATCGCGTGTCGCAAACTCAAGATGAGATGAATGAGAGCTTACTGGGCAGAGGCACGGGAAGAACCAGCGCGCTAGCGACAAGATGGTCAGCGACCCCCGCACGTGCCGACAGCCACCCCAGGGGCCATCTCGCTTGGGTCCGACATTCATTCAATCAACGAGCATCAACAGCAAAAAGAGATGGCCATGC